AAAAAAAAAACCAGGAGCTTTTTGGGCAAAGAAAAATTAAACCTGTTGGCTGGTCTCTGGTTGGGTTCACAAATTTTCGGAGAAAAAGTTTCGCGCAACTGTCTGAAAATAGCACCTTAATTATTAATTACAGTGTAATCATCAGTCTCCAAAGATCTACACAGAATTGTGTTACCAATGTGACGTTACCACTAAACAAGTACAGTAATAAAAGAGTAAGCCAAATTACTTTAATGCAATGTATTCAACATTCATGACCACTAACTATAAAACTGGAACCATTTACACTGGTGGAACCCCCAGCTGATTGCTTATTTACTCCACAAACAAGCTAATGTTCATCATCAAAAATTAAACAATTCCAAATAACATTTCTTATTTTGCTTGGGAAAAAAAATATAAATGGAAACCAGCCCCAAGGGGGAGGGAGGGAGTCAAAACTAAAAGAAACCAAAAGAGCGACTTCTGCATTTAAACTTACCAAACTTCTTCATTGAAAAACACTATATGGTAGCAGATACATGAGTATCATGATTCTCTATTTATATCTTTTAAGCTTATGTAACTGCAAAGAAAATTATTCCTTACTTTCCCCCCAACTTTTTTCGTAAGTTCTATTCGAAGAAATTACTATTAGGTTTATAAACAATCTTGTAGCAGTTTTCTTTGGTTAAGAAAAAACTCCTCTTCCTGAAATATCAATTGCCTATTTTGAAATTTCAAGTGGATAAGCTTTGAGATCATATTTGAAATGTTAACTATTTATACAAAGTTAATTTACATGGTTTTGATATTCATAATACAAAAAGGTCATCAATCTTTTAAAACTGGCAACTGGCAAAGCAAGCCTAAAGGGGAATAATATTAAGTGTTATACATTAATGAGATCTAAAAATGAAACTCTGCAATAATGGTAAATCAGATATGTTCTCCAAAACTCTACAGGGACCAATATCATTATTATCATAATAGGAATACCACTGAACACTCAACTACAATATGGGCAATACCGATTGTGCATTTGTCTTCCATAAAACAAAACCAAAGAGAAAACACTTCCCATTCAGAGGGATAAGCAAAGCAACTTCAACCATATAATACATGGATCTGGTAGCAAAGTTTAAGTTGAATCTTAAGGGATTCATTTACTCCAACTGCACTTGGGCTTCTACTATACACATCCTTAATTATATAACTCACATGTTTTTGATGTATAAATGGAACCCAGTAATTTGGGACCTTGCTGACTTATATTTACAGTAATCTAAAAAAATGAATTAAGTTAATATTTTTAGACTGAAGAAAAGAAGGGAGAAAAGTAAATAATAAAAAAGGTGAAATGATAAAAAGACGAGAACATTTCAGAAGTCAGAAATCCCTCAGTTTGAAGAGAAATAAAAATTAGTTACAAAAGGTTAGTCCATTTAGTTCTCACCTGTTTTTTGTAAAAATCTAAACAATTTCTCCATGTAAATAGTCTAAAAGTTAAATATGCCTACATATAAACGGATTTATAAACTTATCAAAGGTATTTTCATATCTAGGTAAAGTTGGTTTTTGGTTACAACAGTTTTCTAATATTATGCCTAAATACTTCATTAATACCTGACTTTTCTAAATGACTACTAGATACACAGAGTAACAATTACATAGTATAATTCTTACACTACAAAATTAAATGATAAGAGAATTCGCTTTAGTCCCATATGAGTTATAAAACTGAGCATGTAATAATGTCTTGGCAACATAAGATGGTTATCCATCAACATCCAAAACCAGCCTTATCTATTAAAAAATCTAAAATGTATACAATCACATTTTTTGAACTGCTACAGAATTAAAATTGCAGTTCAAATCAACAACCAAAACCAAGTCAAAACAAAAATGAACACACATACACACGAGCAYTCAATCCCCATTAGAGATATCAAGTGAAACCTAGAGCTCAATTTTCATTCAACAACTATAGCACACAAACACTGCCTTTACGTCTAACTTCCAGAATTATTTAGCTTGAGTTTCACACTTCACAACACTAAACAACAAAAAGCCCAAAGACATATATTCTTACTACATTCACGACTACTTACTACTTGTACTAAACTGACAAAATTGATCTATACTAGACAATTCTACATTGCACCAATATACTCTTATTTGATTGACAGCCTAAAGGTTATTTTATAAAAGGTCCACCTGTTACTCTGAAGGATTAAATTTTAAAGTACACAGGGGAAAGTGGCAAATCAATCTCTGGTGAATTATCTAGATAAAATTGTGGAAGGCTACAAATATTTTCCCTTACCCGTTCCCTTGAGTACTGGAGCAGCCTGCAGAATGGCTCAGGGAAGTGCTGCCAGCACACGGACTTTTCTTAGTAGACAGGTCAAGTACACCGTCTGCAGAGACACAAACATCTGAGGATATTAAAAAGTGAAGCAAATGTAGAATGAAAATACTAAACATGAAATGGCAGCAGGTTTAGTCAATCAGGCAAACACAACAGTCACATATTTGAGTTATTCAATATAAAAATCAAGATATTTTTCTCCTGAAATAACATAAATTAAGAAAAGTATGTGATATCAAATGTATCTAAGGATTCAATATTTTATTAACAGTGCAAAAGAAAAGGCAAAGCATATTATACACAATGTTTAGATATGGTGAAATATTAGAAATAGCAGTTCACACAGCATGATGTTCTGTACCAGACTTATACTTCATTTTCTAAATTGACCTTGATTCAAATGTAAGTTTTAATGTCCCATTAAAAAAAAACTGTCTTAGAAACTATAAAACCAAATTCCTCAAGATCTAAATCTACCTGAAACTTGGATCCAAACTAATTTAAAATTAGATAAAGACAAATTTAAATAACAAAATTATTTTAAAACATGAGTTTATATGATTAAATTACATGTACACACTAAACAAGATAAATGTATGTTTAGATTCAATCCTTTGAAGAATATACAGAAATTAAAAATTCAATTGCTGAAATTTATAAAGACAAAGGATTTTAATAAGACACTAAAAACTGGTGGTTTCTAGTTTAAGAAAGAATGAAACAATCTTGATACTAATTAGAGCCTAAGTGTAACCGAGAAGCTAGACCAGATCACATAATTCACGTTGCTAATAAATAAAATCAGGACACTTTCTTTTCCCACAAAGATACATTCCTTCTTATAGACTTATCTAGATACAGATCTCATAGACAGGACAACTTTTTAAGCAGCCATTTTGTCCAGAATAAATAGAGCAAGATAATACCCAATGCCTCTGATTTTTAGATGGCCAGTAGAAAGATCCTGCTAACTCATTATGTTAGAATTCACTCCACAATAGAACTTATCCAACTGGTGTCTGAGGACATTCTAATTCCCTATTACGGTTGTCAGAAATAAATATGCAATTAAATGTATAAATAAGAAAGTCAATATCAAGAGAAAACATTGTCCTTTAGAGACATTAACACTTCAAAAAATATAACTATAATCTAACAGAATCAAGTACTTTATTAGATATTTCATTTAATTAGATATCTAAAAAACAAATGCACTGCTATTTCCAACCAAAGACAGAATAATTTAGATTTCTAAATCAAACATGCAATTTATCTAACCCAATGAGAAAACATATTTAAAGTCTGCCACAAAATTATGTRATTAAACTTGAAAACACTAAAATTCAATGCAATAAGACATTTTTTAAAAACATTTTTGCTTCACTTGAAGTCCATACACTATAATGTTATCGTGCAGTTCAAATTCTCTTAAGAATGTGTTGCCAATACAACATACCTTTTAAGGGCAACACTAGCTATGAGATGTTAAATCAGACTAGTAGAATCATTTTATGTTAACCTTCATTACTAGTATTTTAAATATACCTCTATGCTGTCATTTTCCTATTATAAAYCTGAAGCTTTGATGCAATATTTAGAGCAAAGTGATTCTTATTAAAAACTACCAATTCGTGGTAAAGAAAATGATCCTTAACAAAACAGAAAAGACACAACTTTGGTAACCAAAGGCACACCGATTGATGTGAACACAGAGTAATTTGGAATCCTGCCTGTTAATCTCTTGGAATTTAGATACTTTTCTTTGCTATTTACTATATCCCAAGAGGAAAAAAAAAACAACAACAAAGAAAAACTACTCAAAAAATATATTCTTCAATAAGCAACTGAAGCCAGACCATCAAATGTAAAACCTTTATAAATTCTTATAGTAAGCAAAGGAAAGTTCTTTCAAAGATGTTCTTTTAAGATTTAAATTTATTTTCTTTCAAAATAAACTTATTTCTCACCAATATATTCACAGATCTTATAACCWTTCTGTATACTCTTAGAGGAGACTTCTAAAACAATAAAATCATTACTGTAGACATCACTGAGTTAAATTATTTATAATGGAAATGGCCAATTCATCTTTTGAGAAATTAAAAGGTCAAATGAGATTATAAAGCAAGAGGAATATTTATTCTACTTAAGATAATAAACTTTCTGASACTCAAACATTTTCTAAACAAAACAGATAATACTCTTAACCTCTTTACTAATTTGGGTCCTCACTCACAAATTCCCCTTCAGAAATACTTTAAAAGTTAGTTCACAATACATTGTATGTAAATATGTATATATTTCTGTATTGACAAAACACTGAATACACTTAACTAAAGTGTGTTCTATTGTCTTCTTTTATTTCTAACCCTGGTAATTTCTTTTAAAACTGCAAATAAAAACATTTTTCCTTATGATCTCATTTGCAGAACAAAACAAGTAAAGGTGTATTTTTCAGGTACTAATTCTAAAACATTAAGGAAAAAATAGAAACGTAACTTTTCATAGGCGTTTTTAGAAAATGGACAGGACAACACTTTGGAAAGTGCAAAATGCTTGTATTAGTATCAAATAACTTAAAAATCAGTTACAACTATAAACCACCTGACTATAAATACCTAGGTGGTACATCAATCAAAACTATGAATTACTGACAGGTAAGGTTTTAAGAATTTTATCTGTACATATCTATCACTGCATAGTGAAGAATAATTTAAGATTCACATTATTGTTTTGTTTTTTAAAGAGACAAATTCTTGCTATGGTTCCCAATGTGGCCTTGAATCCCTAGGCTCAAATGATCCTCTTGCTCCAGCCTTCCAATAGTTGGACTACGGTATGGGCTACCACCCAGCTAGAATCACACTATATTTTATTCTATTATTAACTACTGGTCCCCTCATTGCCAATAATTTTTTTCTCCCCCGAATAAGTTTTCTGATTGGACAGAGGAGACCATGATTATCAAACCATACCTTGTTCACTAGGTTCTGACTGAGACTTTCTGACAGTAAGGTCCAGAGGTGAGTCTTGGTCAGCCATGAGAAGTTTGCTGAGCACAGGGTTCTGAGTAGTTGCAGCCGTGGGAGAGGTGGTGACTGGAGATGCTTTCGGCAGGCTTTGGTTCTTTGTGCTATTGGGCTGGCTGGGGTCCTGAGTAGAGCTATTTTTTGAGGTATATTCAGCAGCAAATTGTTGGATCATTCGCTGCATGATCTCACGGGCCACTAGGGGAATATTGGGGTCGAAGACCCAGGGACTGTCTGTAAACAAAGATTTATTCACTTTTAAAGTGGAAAATTGTACTTAAAAAAAAAAAAAAAAAAAAACCAACCAACAAAAAAGACAGCTTTCACAAAAACATATTCATATTTTTCTTAAAATGCAAAGTCTTAAAAAATAGTATTTCCCTTGATTTATATTTTTAATCTCCAAGCTTTTGAGTTTCAGGTTTTTAAAAAATAAAATTTTCATAAAAATATTTCTAAACATTTCCCCCCAAGATTATGAAATTAAAGGGTTACAAATACTATCTTTTATAGGCTAAAATCACTTACCTGATATAGAAATCCCCAAATCTTTCTCTTAAGAGTTATTCCCCAGTTAACATCTACAGAGAATACATTGTTTCCCCTAGAGTTTTTTTCCATCAACTGTCCTCTCCTAAATTTCCAAAATTTGSACTACTGAATTCACGAGTGCTTAATTCATTTCTTGTTAAAGACTGATGGCATAACAAGATCATAAAATCAGATACTTAATTTTAAGTATTCAGTCATGATAGGCTAGAGCAATAGTCTTCCCATTTTAATGTTCACTGAAATCATTTTGAGGTCTTTTGACTGCTGGATCCTATCCCCAGAGTTTCTGATTCAGCAGTTCTAGGGCTCAAGAACTGGCATTTCTAACAAGCTGCTAGATGCTGCTTGTGTGAGGACAACAATTTTAGAAACTGTGGGTTAGAAGTTTAAATGTCAATTCTCAAAAGTTGGAAGACAGACCACATATTTTCCATGAATAATCTTTTATATTTTCCATTAAGAATCTTTAAGTATACTCTTCCAGATATTAACAGAACAGTTAGAAAAGTAATGAAAAACACTTAAGTTATCCATGTCTAGTCAATTTTAAAATAAAAACCATATGAACTCATTAATTTTTGAACCAGAAGGGACCTTCAAGTTCAAATTTGGGTAAGATGAAAGGTGAAATCTATATATTTTGTGTGTGTGTGCGCGCGCATGCATATATATACCTAAAAATAAAAGATTCTCACATCTCTATAATTACAACACTAGCCTATCAAGGAAAAGAAGCTTCTTGGGGGCAGAGACTAAATGTATGTATATATACCTAAATCTTGCCTGGTGTAAAGTGTGCATTCAATTTAGCTGAGTMATGAATGGAAGGAATCAATTTATACCAATTTTCTTTTAATAAATGTGGAAAAAGTGATAAAAAAGTAGCCTCTACAAATTAGTACAGATGATTTCTGATAAAACTCAATCTAAACTCTTTCCCTGATCTTAAATGTCTACCTGTACCTTTGACTCCCCACCACACTTCTAATGCATTTTTAAGATGGTTTTCAGAAAACCTGTTTCCTTGGTCTTTTGAAGATTAGCTATATAAGGCAAATACCCACAGTATCTTAGAGCTGTGAAGAATTTGTGAGATTAATTTATAAAGTACAAAGGCACAAGAAAAACTGACTTTATTACTAAAATCTCCACAAAAAACAAACAAAACGCTCAAACTTCACAGAACTCATAATAACAACAACACATTTTATATTTTCCCAAAAGGAGCACATTCAATACCTGAATATGCTCATGCAGTCACAATATTTATTTAATTTTCTGAAGTTTAATGAGGCTTGCTCTATCAATATCATTTTTGTCTCACTAAGGAGTATTTATAATCCTAAATTTCTTCTCTATAAATATAGACTATTAGTATTCCAGATAGTTTATGAAAAAAGATATTTAATTAGGTGAGGTTCAGAAGTTCCTATATTCACTGACAATGCTTCTTCAACAGTTTTACTAAACATTTTAGCCATATATTGCTTTTTAAATCTCTCTACTGGATTTTCTCATTAGTTATTTGACTTTCCAGTTAAGATCCATTTCCCCCTATATAGCATAAATCTATGTATGAAAGACTATACAATTTTAATATTAGTGGTACCTTTCTCCCCCTAGAAAACTGGAGAATATGTAATAAAAAATTTCCAAATAGGAAGCAAATGAAATATTAAAGAATTATCTCTGTGTTTAACTAATATTAGTAAATAAATATCCTTAAAAAGCTTTGTGATTTGTCAAAGATTTTAGGATAAAGATCATAAACTGCTCCTTACGCTTAAAATGCCTATAGTATACTTTGTCTTTTTAATGAATGAATGACTAATACAATCATGAGACAAAATATTCTCAATGTTTATGAATCACAACTCTGCCATTTATATTTTGTTATCTTTTTTTTGAAAGTTTCATGAAAGCATTCATTTTCTGACTTATAACACAAGTTCTATATACATTTTCATGCCTAGGGAAATAGACACAATTGAGTCAAATAAAAGCAACAACTCAGATGAAAATAAAACTACACAAAAACATGTAAAAATTAAATCACAGCCACTGGTACATTTAAAATGGAAATCTAACTTCTAGAAAGGTATCACTTTTTAAAAAAAACAAAAAAACATAAGTGACAAAGCAAATTAAAAAGGAAATGTGATTAATAGAATTTTATAAGATAATATTGTTCTAAAGTTAAAACTGGTTACAATAGAGTCCATTATCATAAAAGTCTACTTTCATTGCATCTGTATTTCTATTTAGCTATACAAAACCTTTGCACGCCTGATTATTTAAAATATATAATTTGTACTGCTTGGATACAAAGGGCTAAATCCAAGCATCTGAAACAAAGGCTGAGCATTCTTCATCTGGTAAAGTGTATGTAAATATTCGAAAATCTGAATTGAAATCTAACCCACTTCTGGTCCAAAGCATTTGGGATAAGAAATATTAAACTGATGTTTATGAAAACAAGGGATACTCAACCTATATTAATTTGAAGAGTACAAATGTTCATCTTTAAGATATATCCAAGAGGGTTTTAAAAATATCTWAAAAAAATAACACTGGTATATAACATAAGGGGAAGTAACTGGAATTCTTCCAATTCCAAATCATTCTTTTCTGAGTATTCTGTGCTAGTATAAAAACAAACATAAAAACTTAAGTTACATATATACAGTTTCAGAGGATTCTCATAGCTCTTGAAATGTATCTTAAGATCTAAGGTCAGAATCCCTCTAAACAAAACTGATAAAAATTTTAAGTTATTCCTCTATGACAAAGGGATGAGACTACTAGAAGTAGGACAGAATAACTTCTTATTGTCCCTAAACAAAGAGTGGATGAAAATGGGTTCCTCTATACAAATTAAGTACAAAAGCTTCTCTCTCTAGATAATAAAGCTTGCTGTCAGACCTTTGCACTGTATACATTCTAAAGAAGAGGAAATGTAAAGATATTTTATTTGGCTAATACACTCATAGAACTGGTTATTGTTTAAACCTTAAATATGAATTACTTTAATAAAAAAATCAAAAACATCCATAAAACTAAGAAAATGACGATTTTTAATATAATGTTGGAATTCAGGGAACTGTATGCAATGATGAGGTGAGCCTGGGAGGTTGAGAGATTTTTAAGTCAGAGGCTACCAGCAGGTATTAAAAGAGAATGGAGGGTATACTAAAATTTTTGAATTTACAATGGATCTTACTGAAAAAAATGGGGGAAAATGTGCCAGCCCAATAATCTCTACATTCCTTAACTTTATTATGATATTTAATCTTATACCATTATTTAAACATATTGATCACATTAAGAAAAAAGAAGCCCAGCTGATATCCAATTATACCCAACCCATTAGAACAAATACTCAGAGAGTATACAGTCAAAACTGTACACCCTTTAGAAGGGAAAAAGAAAATTTCCAGAGGAATGAAAGGTGTAAACCACAATACATAAAGAAAAGGGAATCACTAAGTGTCCAAGATTACATAGGACATTCAAGATTACCAGGAATTTGTAGGWAACCCTTTTTAGAACCTATCATAGTAACTTCTTGGAACTAGAGTAAAAGGGTAATTAAGCATACAAAATCATTCAGAAAGAATTTCTTGAAAGACTCTTGACTACAATGGTTGGTGAAGGAAAGTTTCCTGAAGGTCTTGACAGATGGCAATTATGCTTTGCAGATAGAGAAAAACAAAACAAAACAAAACAAAACAAAGGTCTTCATGAAGAATTTATACACCCCAAGCCTCTATTACAATTAGACAAACATTCTCTGAATTTTAAAAGAAATGTAAAACAAGCCTATCAAGTTTCAAGAAGAATCCAGCATGGTGGTGCATGACTGTAATCTCTGTGACTGGGGAGGCTGAGATAGGAAAATTGCAAATTCAAGGTCAGCCCCTGTTTCAAAATAAAAAATAGAAAGGGCTGGGGATGTGGTTCAATGGTAAAGCGCCCTTGGCTTCAACCTCACACCCTACTACCAAAAAAACCCAAAAAACAAAAAACAAGAAACCAAGTTTCAATGAGAAAAACAAACTGAAAAATCCAAGAGACAGAGCTATTAAATGACACCTCAAATGTAAGAAAAAATTTTATTATGAGTTTTATCACCCTAATTTTAATAATCTAAAAAACTTTAGTGAAATAAGACTATACCAAGGGGAAAATGTTTACAAATCTAATTGGTTAAAAAAAAGAAAAAACATCTAATTGGTAAAGGTATAGCTACATTTTCTTTCCAAATAAAATTTCAGGTTGGAATTACTAAAATATTATATAGTAGGTTTTATAGTTACTGATAATTAAAACAGTAACTGCTTATATTTAAAAAATTGCTCAACAAAAACCTAACTACTGAGACCTTAAAATTTTCAGAGTTTCATAATAATGGATTTAACTATTTGACTAAAATCATCACTTCAGAGATAAGGGGGTGGCAGGACAGGGATTGCGTTAACTCTGTTCCAAATTTACCTTGATCAAAGGAATACAGAAAAAAAGTGCATCATTAGCATAGAAAAAAATTACTTTTAAGAGTAACTTTAAAAATAACATTGAAACTAAGAAGATTAATGTAAGACAAGCAGATGCTAAATGTCATTCTTCACTGAAACCAACCTTTTCTATAAAAGACTGCATTGAGGAACTCTTCTGCTTGTCTCTCGAATCGAATGATTTTTGCTTGCTCTTGTTTAAGCAGAGCTTCCTGCCCAGCTCCCGAAGCTGGTTCATCCAGACGGACTAAGTGTCCCTGCAAAAATATTTGGTGAAATATTTGTACAAAAAATTTTCCCCATTCAAAATAAAAAACAGATGTATAATTATAAACAAATACTAATAGCATATTAAACAAATTAGTTAATATTATTAAAGTATTTTAAAACTTCAATTCAGGATAAAAATTATCTCCACAAAACTATAATAATAGTAAAATGAGTATAAACATACAGCTTGGGTGAACTTTATTCACATTTTTCAATTATGAGTTTTCCCCCACAATTTACCATAAACTAATTAAACAATGATTACTCTAAAGGGAAAATTTCTTTGAGCATTAAAATATATKGGTTCTCTTAAAGCAAGTGCTCACAGATAAATCCATTCAGATGGTATGCTTTTATACATTTTWAAAAATCTTTTTAAATTTCAGATCTCATTTAAGGATCATGTTTGTCCTCCTAGAATGGGATATTTTCTCCAGACACAAAACATTTTTAAAGGGAGTGAAACTGAACAAATTACCTTTCTAAATATATATGAAAATGGCACAATGAAACACATTTTTCTGTATAATCAATATATACCAATTTTTTAAAAAAAGCATTCAGGAAGGAAAATTCAAGAAGATTTTATCAAATTTTATAATTCTGTTCCTAGATTACTTAACAAACTATGGCTCTCAAACCTTCACTGAGTAGTCAGTCAGTCAAACTAATACTAGAAAACTGAGTAGGAAAAGAGTGTACTTCATATTCTAAATATAAACACTGCAGCATCTTTATTTACAATATATATGTGTGTCTAAACATGCTTACAATATAAAATATGGATCAAAACGTTTGTCTAAATGAAAAGTTCCAAAATGCTGTACTGAATTCAACCACGAGATGTAGAGCATCTGCCTCCAGACTTCAAGAACAATGGAGTAAATTGACAATGTTTTGCACATCTCAGTGCATGTAACTTACTTTATTTCACTGTAATATATCAATACATGCATTTACTTTAATCATGGAATCATCAAAAGTGYTCCAAATAAGAAAACAGAACGTACACTGGTATAAGGTAATTAAACAAGAATTAAAGGCATATTATAATCCACAAAATATTTCCTCAAGGCTTTTAAATATATCTACTGTTATCTGTAAAAACTTGCTATGATTTCTCCATTACCTGAATTGTGCCACACAGCATAACCAAGACACAGACACACATACATCTTACTGACACATTTAGAATTGATTATATATTGCATACAAATAGTTTAACAAAAAGAACTCACTTGCCTTATTCAAATTACAACAATGATTTAACATTTCTATATAAACAGTAAATTTGTTATATAATTTGTTTAAAGAATTTTCAATTAAGTATTCTAAGTGTTATAAACCATAAAAACTTTTTTACTATTAATGTTATTTGTCAACATTCTCTTCTAAATATATAAGTAATTTTGAAACACAAATCATAAATAATTATGATATAGATTAAACATCTAAAACATATTAAGAACAGGCATCAGTTGAAGTGCCATCAAACTCTTCAACTGTATTGTACTTCAGTGTCATTTCATTAAGTGATTTTTTAAAACATAAATTATACCTGGATTTCACTCCTTAGTTCTACATTCAATCAGTTGAAGTTAGATACTGAATGATGTATCTGTAGAGTACTTAAAACTTTAATGTAGTATTTAATGTAGCATTCAGACTCCTATCATATGTAATGGAACACAACACAGCAACTAGCCTAGTACTCATCAGGGAGATGCTATGTGTCCTTTCTTAAACAATAATCAATCCCCATTCCCACACCAACACTAGTAAACCAATATACTAACTACACTATGTTTTGTCTTTATAGATGTGCCTGTTCTGGACATCATTTCATCTAAATAAACATAYACACATACACTCTTTTTTAAATGTGTGTGTGTGGTTTTTTTTCCCCCTGTGATGCTGGGGAGTGAACCCAGGGCCTTGTGCATTCGAGGCAAGCACTCTACCAACTGAGCTATATCCCCCAGCCCAGTGATCGACTTTTTTTTCTCCTAGAATAATGTTTTTTTTTTTAAATCTCAGGTCCACCTGAGACTGAAATGAGCTCTTTCTCTGGGTTTTCAGTCTCTCTCTCTCTTTTTTTCTTCTTAAGAGAGAGAATTTTAATATTTGTTTTTTTTTTTTTTTTTTTAGTTTTCGGCAGACACAACATCCCTGTTTGTATGTGGTGCTGAGGATCGAACCCAGGCAGCATGCATGCCAAGCGAGCGCGCCACCGCCTGAGTCACATCCCCAGCCTCCTAGAATAATGWTTTCAAGGTTCGTCCACACTGTAGCATGTGTAAGTAGTTAATTTCATTTATTGCAAAATGAATACTTCATTGYATGGATACACCACTTTTTATTTATCTATTCTTCAGTTGATGAGTATTTGAATTGCTTTCACTTTTAGGGTATTATAATAATACTGCTATTAACTTGTGTACAGGTTTTCGTGTGGATGTATATATTCATTTTTCTTGAATATGTATTTAGAAATGGAACATCTGGATAATATTTTAACTATGTTTAACATTTTGATGAAGCGTCAAACTATTTTCAAAGCAGGTATACCACTTTATATTCCCAACTGCAGTTTATGAGACGAATACTCATSAATACTTATCATTTTGATTATACTCATCTTTAGTAGATGAGAAGCAGTATCTTGTTCATATTTTCTTTCTTTCCCTTCCTTTCCCTTCCTACCTCCCTTCCTTCCCTGGTACTGGGCACTGAACCTAGGGCCTCATAAATTCAAGGCAATACCCTTACCACTGAGGTACATCCCCAGCTCTAGATTTATATTTTCTAAAAGACTAGTGATGTTCAATTTCTTTTCAGGTGCTTACTGGCCATTTGAAATCTCTACTCGGATCCTTTGCTCAGTTTTTTTAATTGGACAATTTTTTAAATTGTTGAATTATAAGAATTCTTGACATATTCTGACTTAATTCTATTATTAGATTCRTGAACTGCAAATATTTTCTTCTTTTGTGTTTCCTCAGTGATGGTACTGTTAGCAGCACAAGTTTTGAATTTTAATGAATTCTAATTTAAAAGTTATCTTTTGTCCCTTCTGTTTTTGATGTCATAACTAAAAAATCTGTTTAATTCAAGATCATGAAGATTTATTCCTGTTTCCTTCTGAGTCTTACAGTATTAAAGCTTGYCTATGACTTATATTAAGTTAATTTTTGTGTATGGTAAATGTATACGAAAGGAGTTCAACTTCATTCTCTTGCATGTGGAGAATCAGTTGTTCTAGTACCTTTTGTTAAATAAATAATTCTTTCCTCCAAAGGATTGTTTTGGGATACTTATCAAAAATCAATGGTCATAAATTTTACTTATGGATACTTTAATTCTATTCCCATTATCTACATAGCAAGTTTTAAAATTAATAAGTATGAATTCTCTCAATTTGTTCTTTTACACATTATTTTGGCTTCTTGAGGTCTCTAAATTTTCTTGTGAATTTCAGAATCAGTTCGTCCATCTCTTAAAAAAGAAATCACCTGGGATTTTGATGGAGAATGCAATTGTCAACTTGGGGAGTGATGTCATCTTAACAATATTGACTTTTCTGATCAAATGTGGGTATCACTTTATTTTCAATGTTTTGTAATTCACAGTGTATAAGCATTACACTTTTGATATGTTTATTTCAAAGTGTTTTACTTTTTGATGCTACTATAAATGGAATTTTCTTAATCGTAGTAYTTCTCATCACTAAATGAAAACAGATATTCTAAAAATGATGTTATATTCTGAACCTTGCTAAACATATTTATAAACTATCAGTTTTATAGATTCCTAAGACTTTTTATATTCATCATCAAGTCATCTGTGAACAGAGATAGTTTTACTTCCTTCTTTCAATGTGGATGACTTTGGTTTCTTTTTATAGCTTAAATGCCCTGATTAGAAGCTCCCCGACAATGTTGAATAGAAATAGGAGTCCATATCTTAGGAGGAAGCTGTTCAGTCTGTTATTAAATATGATGGTGTTTTTGTAGCTCAGGTCGAGGAAATTCCAGTCTATTAGGTGTGTGTATGTGTGTGTGTGTGTGTGTGTGTGTGTGTGTGTGTGTGTATTTAGTTGTAGATGGACAGAATGCCTTTATTTTGTTTGTTTATTTTTATGTGGTACTGAGGATGGAACCTAGTGCCTCATGGATGATGGGCAAGTGCTCTGTCACTGAGCTATAGCCCCAGCCCAAGTGTTTTGTGGGTTTTTTTTTTGTTGTTTTTGTTTTTTTTTAAAACCAGCAAATGGTTTCTGGTCTGGCCACATTGCTTCTGGAGAGCACCTATGGACATGATCATATGGTTTCTTATCATTTATTATATTAACACACATTACATTAATTGATTTGGGGGCATTAAATCAACCTTGGGATCCTGGGATAAATCCTACCAGGTCATGGTGTGTACTTTTTATATGCTAGCAGATCTGATGTTGAGGGTTTTTTGTATTGATATTCATAAGTGATAATGGTCAATATTTTTTGTGATGTCTTTTGTCTGGTTTTGGTATCCATAATACTGGCCTCATGGAACAAAGAAGTCTTCCCTCCTATAATCTGAAAAAGTTAGTGAAGAATTGGTAGTAATTCATTAAATATCTGATAAAAAACACCAGTGAGGATATCTGGCCATGGACTTTTTCTTTAATATAAGTCTAAAAATTATTAACCCAATTTCATTATGGTTTGAATATGAGATGAACACCACAAAACTCATATTAAACAATGCAGGGTTGTTCAATTGTGAGAGCTGTAAATTTATCAGTRAATTAACCTAAATAGACTACTGGTGTAAACTGTAAGCAGATAGAGCAAGGCTTGGACCTCTTAAATAAAATTTTTCTTCTCTTTAAGTTGCTCTTGTCAGGTATTTTGGTCATAGTGACAAAAAACTTAACACACTTGTTCTAGTCTAGTTTAGTTTTGTAGGGCTATTGTAACACATTACCATAAACTAAGKAGCT